CACTGGAGGCTCTGCGAGGTTGGTAGAGGTGATTATACCCCCTTCGCATGTAAGAAGCACTAAAGTTCAGAGAGATTATGTGACTTCATCACGATCACGCAACTAGTGGATTAGAGACACATCACAAACAATGATTTTCTGCAAGTCCAGCACTCTTTCTGACTTTTTTTTTTTTAACTAAATGGATGGATGAATGAGTGAATGACTTAAAGAACCACAGAAATAGTGTAAAACAGAAGATGATTTCAGAATCTTAGATAAGCTGAGAAGGGGAGAAAACACACTCAGTTCACCTAGATTCCAGGTGTCCGTCAGAGTCCTAAGCCTCCCTGGAGGAGGGAAGAAGATGCTACTCCTCCTATGACTGTGGCTGGCCTGGTTTCCTAATTCCATTTCCCTCCTGCAGATTTTGACGGTGTCTGGACCGCCTGAAGGAGGGACTCGAGTGACCATCCTTGGTGTGAACCTGGGCCTGGACTTCTCCGAGATCGCCCAGCACGTGCAGGTGGCTGGGGTGCCTTGCACACCCCTCCCAGGGGAATACATCATCGCTGAGCAGTGAGTCTGCCCTGGCCGGCCCTTTTCCCATGGGAGCTTCAGGATAGAGACTCTTCCACTCTCTTCTCTGGGACTTTTCCAGGTTTCATCTCCCATCACCTCCTCTTCCTGTTGACCCTGTCCCTGAAGCCTCCCAGGGCACTCCCCAAAGGTCCTGTTGTGTTGGGTTCCTTTTTCCCTGGCTCCTCTGCATCAGGGCTCCTCATTCTGTCTTTGTCTGGCCACTGGCATGACTGAGCCAGTTCCCCGATAAGCTCAGGCTCCTCCTAGGTCTCCCCCAGCCCCTCCTCTGCCCGCTCCCATTGGAATGCATCCCGCACGGTGGGCTGCAGGCAACAATTTGTTTGGTGCATGGGGCCCTGACAGCAGCTTAATCCGAGCAGGGCCTCCGCCGGAGCGAATTCATTTATTTCACTAAGGGAAATGTCAGCTGGAAATTAGAAAATAGGCATGTAGTGGCGGACAGGCAAACGGGGCTCCAGGAGTGACATATGTTCCAATTTGGGGTGTTCATTTGGCAGTGGCGGCCGCTGTGGAGTTGGTGGGCAGGAGGTGGGCATGAAACTGGGGCTGGGAGGGTGGGAGGAGGGATGCTTCCCCTCCAAAAGAGAAAGGGAGGGAACAACCTGAGCATTTTGCATGATCTGTCATGTAAAGTTGGGTCGAGCCATCCCGACTCTACTGAGAACACAGCTCTGCAAGGGTTAGAAGGAGCATAACTGTGCAGCGGGGGCTTCCCTGCCTTCGCCCCACTCCCGTGCAGCCTAGGCCCTCCCCTCTGACCTGCCCAGAGCCAGCCTTTAGTGGCAGTCATAAAAGTGACATTTCTTTAGCTTTTAGCAGGACCTTCCAGTTAATGAAGCACTTTCTCATTCGCTCTCTCATTTTTAATTGGTAAGGACCCCGAGAGGCAAATATTGCTATGACCAGTTTGCAGAACAGGGGAGGGCAAAAGACTGAGGCAAGTGGAATGACTTTCCCCCGAGCACTTGGGCATCAGGGGCCGAGGTTCCTGGCTCCTAGTCCCAGGCTCTTTTCCTTTCATAACAGTGATGGGGCAAGACTCCCCAACGGGAGCAGCCTGAGAAGTCCAGGACTCATCAGCATGTGGCTTAGAGGCTGGGGGACCATGATTCCAGCATGGCCCAGGGCAGGGTCAGCAGCAGAGGGGTGAATTCCCAGACTCTGAGGGCTGCGGATGCCTCTGGCCACAGCCGGGGAGAAGAAGGAGCTGACTTGATCCTTCCAATCCTGTAGGCCTATCTTCACCGACAACCTTATCCCACCAAAGGATGAGTCTTGGAGGAAAGTCTGGCTGGGCCTACAGGAAAGAGAGGAGGGAGGGGGAAATGGGAAATGACGTAAGTGGCGCTTCTGAGCCAGAAGAGGAGGTGAATGCTGTCAGGCAGGAGCCAGGACAGCCTGCAGAGGTCCTCACAGCCAGACGGGCTAGGCGCTCTGCCACGCTGACCCCTAATCCACCTTGGCCTCAAGGACCTGCCTTGGGCCTCTGGACACAGACCAGTCTCCAACTTGGTGAGATGCCACAGGACTCTGAAGGAGAGGGTTTAGAAGGTGGGGTCACACCAGAGCTAAGAGAAACGCAAATCCAAGGTCAGCTGGACCTCAGAATTTCATGATATTTGGAATTAAACTGTATTTTAGCCCTGGCTTCTCTACTTATCAGCCCCAAGACCTTAGCAAGCTGTTTGATTTTTCTGACTTTCATTAGCCTAACATGCTATACAAATGCAAGGAATTTCAGTTCTATTTATGAAATCAAATGTACTGCACTCACCCGGGGCCACAAGGAAGAAAGTGGCAAGAGAAACCAGAAGTGGAGCTCTGAAAGGAGCCTGGGGAGGTGAATGGTCCCCACAGGTCCCTGCCAAGGCTGATGGTCACTGCAGAAAGCTGCCACCATCATCTCCCCAGGCATGGGGCAGGCAGGAGTCAGGAGTGTACCCCGTGCCTCGCTGGATGCAGCCCTGGTTTCCAGCCGTGCCAGGCTCATTACCACTCTCGTGGGTTCAGAGTTTGTTAACATCATTAAAGCTTCCATCCCCGGCAGTAAGCAGCAGGCACAATCATTACAGATGTCTGC